AATACATCTCAGGTAGCATTACTTTTCATCATAGATAAAATTAAAAGGTAGCCAGATTTGGAACTAGTATACAGAAATCTTAATAAGGATCCAATCATGGTCGGGTTCCTAAGGAAACCTAACTATATAAACTTAAGGATAATTTGTAAATTAAAAGGCAGAAACTTCCTTATGCTAGAGAGTGCTATTTTTAAAAATAATTAAATCTTATTATTATTTTTTTTTATGTACACACTAATGACCTCTCCATTATTGAGTAAAGGACATGTATTATCTTGACACGTTGTGCCTTGAAATCTTCAGGTGATCACATCCATACTTGCTCTTATTCTCCTTACAACTATTTGCATATTGATCTTAATAATTTAAAATAAAAAATGTTGTGCTTGACTAATATTAACCATTATTCACTTATTTAAAATATTTTTATTGGAAGTCCGTTCTTTGTCACATGTGACAAATGTTGAGTAATGGGGTTACAAAGGTAAGCAGAAGAGATTTGGTCCCTGCCTTTATGGAGCTTCCAGTCTAGTGAGAAAGATGGCGGTTAATCATCTAATTGTGCCAACAAATAGAATAGAGAGACGTTCTCTTCTTTATTGCAATTATGACTCGTAGCTGGACTATGAATTTAAAAAAATCACATAAGCATAGAATACTAAAGAAGTGATAAGTTTTAAATATTTTAGGATTTTAAACAATGTGCTTTATCGTGTTTCACTGTTTATCAATTTGCCAATTAATTGATGTATACCCAAGGCTTTTAAGTATGTGTCCCCTGAGTGATGATCCTTGCCATCTTCTTGGGTAAGTTACACCCATAATATATAGTCTATGGCATTTTTTTTTTTGATTTACTAAAAATGGCAGGAAAGCTTAAAGGCATTTGGCAAGGAATTTAAGTGCAGAATTTGTGTACATTTTTTTGAGTTTTATTCCAGTTTTATGAAGTAAAGAGAACTTTAGTGGTTATTAAAAACAATTTGCCTTTATTTTTTCCAAAACATTTAATCTAGTGCCACTAAAAACATTTGCCCTCATATTTTATTAGCTATGTAATATTTAATGAATTTACCCAATTACAATAAGAAGTAGAAATGACATAAACAGACTTGGGATTAAGCAGCAATTAAAGTGGTTAAAGTGGGTGTGTGTGGGTGTGCAGAGTGGACTTTTTGCCATTAGGGTGCCTTGGTCAATAAGTTTCACAGAAGGAGGGGAATATATTGATTACTCTGGTAATTTGGTGAATGTAGGTTGACTAAGAAAGTTGTGCTATATTAGTGATAAATACTATGCAGTGCATTATGGCAGAAAAGGAAAATTATAAGGAGATGTTATAGGGTAGCTTGATTTATTCTGGAAGTCATAGAAGGCTTCCAGGAGGAAGAGACATTTTGGCTGGGATATGAAGAGAGATGGGGGAAGTAAATAGGTGGAGAAGGTATGGGTGAATATGGAATATGGAACATCACGGACAAACTCTGATGTGGGCTACCGCTTGGAATGCTGAGGAATTAAGGCGACCAGAGTGGCTGGGGTACAGAACAGAAGGGCAAAAGTTTCAAAGAATGAGGCTGGAGGAGGAGGGTCTTCCTATGCTGCTCCCATGGATCTGGGGTTTTTATCGAAAAAGCAAGGGCAAATTAAATGATTCAGATTTGCATTTTAAAAAGATCACTCTGGGGGCTGCTGGGTGGCTCAGTCGGTTGGGCGTCTGCCTTCGGCTCAGGTCATGATCCCAGGACCCTGGGGTGGAGTCCTGTGTCGGGCTCCCTATGCAGCGGCGAGTCTGCTTCTCCCTCTCCCTCTCCCCTCCGCCCCGGCTCTTGCTCTCTCTCAAATAAATAAATAAATAAATAAAATCTTTAAAAAAATAAAAAGATCATTCTGGCTGTTGTTTGGAAGATGGAATGGATGGGGCATCATTTATGTAGTGATTCGATAGTCTAAATAAGAAATGTCCCTGCTTGATGAAAAACAGAACCTAAATTTATCACAGGTGTAAATCTTTTCAATACCCAGGAAGACGTGGACCTGTATTTTCTATAGTGCACTTTGCTTACCATTTTCTCCTTCTATATTTGTATTTATATTCATGATTTCAGCACAAAATATTTTCAAGACAATAGAAAAAAAAGGAAAAGTCAATCTTTTAAGCCTGTACCATGCTATTGACTTTCTTTGAAAGGACAACAAGTGTGTTTATTTTATCACTACCAGTCCAAAAATTAACCATGAAACATCATTCTCTACTTTTAAACTATGTGTAACAAAGAAATGCTTTATTGCAACTTCATCAATAATTCAAACGCCACTTAAAAGAAAGTAGGACAGCATAAGGAAAAAAGCACATTTGTTCCATAATTGAGTCGATTAAATAGTATTGAGTCCCATTGTCATCTTTATATTGATGAAACAACTTTTATAACTACAAAGAGTCTAATAAGTAAGACCTCAGAATTATGAGGCAATGTCATACACATTTCTGTATTTTTTTATATTATAGAGTACAAATAGCAAAAGCAACCTTTACTAATGTGCAATAATGAAGGAACAGTTTTTGAAAAGTGCTCTTATTGGGATTTTAGTAGTTTTCAAGCCTGCGCAGTAATAGCCCAAGCTATTTTGGAACTGTGCATACATTAGTGTTCTGGTGCAGCATGATACAATAATGTGTGAAAAAGTATACGATCGCACCTTGTTTAAATTTGCAGTTTTTGTGCATAATCCCACAGTGAGCTCTTGTTAGGTTTTGACTGTATATAGGAGAGAAAGTTTATAGAAGCCCACAGACTGGGGTTGGATGTAAATATCTGTGGAAATAAAGGTTTTTGTTCTTTATTGAAAGATCAAGAGTTAAATTTATATTGTATATAACATTTTGCAAATCGAACCTATGGTTAGTGTTACCCAGAGGAAGCTTCAGAACGTACATATATAACCATCCTAATGAAAATGCATATCTGCTTATTTCATATTTGCAGAGTATGAGTGAAAAGTACCGAGTTTGATTTTTAAAAACAACAATTGTGCTATAATTTGTGCATTCATATTAATGTTGTTTTTCAAAATTGTCACCCAGAGAAGCAAAACCCTGATTCCAATGATGCCCTTGTTCAAAACATTTTGGAAAACTTCCTCTCAGAATTGTCTTTTGAATCATTTGCAAGCCTGACTAAAACATCCATCTCATTACTTTCTATTCGTATTTTATACCAAGATTCATCATCCTTTTTTTATTCACCAGAGTTGGCTATAAATGTCTCTCTGAAATGATGAAAATGGCTAAAATTGACTTTCAAATTATGAAATTTGTCACCATTGAGGATATTTCGAAGTGTATATGCATGTGTGTGTGTTACAGACTTAGAAAGCACTTTCAGAAGGTGGTAGAAATACTGTGGCTGATGGCATCTTTAGGGTAAGAGAGTGGTGTTCTAAGGGGAGCCCTATGAAGGGAAAGCACATGTAGATGACATGGTATGTTTGTATAAAAACCAGTCACATTACTTTTTAATGACACCGGTTGTTAGTTTTTACAACGTATACAAAGAAAAATGCAAATAATGTCTTTCGGAATGCAAGGCCAAAATAGCTTACACAATTAGTAGCATATTTTATCATTAAGACAATTAAAGGATTAAAGCAACTACAATACTAATCCTATGTTGGCAGATTCTTCAGATAATGGTCCCTATGTGGGAATGTCTCTGTATAATTTTATCTAAATACTACCATTCACTGTCTTATCTGTAAACATGTGTGTTTTTATTAGCATCTTACATAATTCATACTTATTTTCATGTCATTTGAAGGTACTATTTGGTAGCATTTGAAATTTTCATTTTAGTTGACCTCTTCACATAAGTAATTGACTCAGTTTTTGAAACTATTAGTGCTTGTTTTCTTAACCATCAGTAAAGAACCTAGTTACATGTGCTTGAAATGTAAAATAATTGAATTCCAAATGTTTTCTCAATTTAAGAAATTTGTGGCCATTTGGTACCACTCACACAATGTTGTGTGTTGAATGATTTATGAATAAAATAAAAATGAAGTAGTAATGTATGTATCCAAACATTCACCATATACCCCCAGTTGAACATCTTTATTGTGTTCTTTCTCAAATGGGTAGGGAATGAAAGAAATAATTGCCAGAGAGACTCAGTTGAGTAGTTTTTATTTTCTGAGTATTAGAATTGGAATTAGTGCTGTTTAATGAGAGAGAAAACAATTCAAATAAATTTTTTCTGTGATCAGTTTTTGTGACACTGTACCCTATTGCTTCTGACTTCCAGCTTTGCACATTAACGATAGGGATCAAATGCCTGTATTTCAAGAACGTCACCAGTTGCTCTTCGAAAATTGATAGATTTAAGTGCAAAGCCATGTTCGAATATGAAGGTCTCGTATTCAGTTTTGTGCTACTTTCCAGTATCGCTAACTCACCTCTTGGAGACAATAAAGTTTTCTTGTTTAAGTATGTATGTTTTGTATGTAAGTTTTGTAGACTGATTTGTGTTATACTGATTCTTTTATCCTGGTTAGCTATGATAGCATTTCTTCTTTACTGGTTTTGTAGTACTAAATGTACTAAATTTCCTGAATGCCTTTATCCTCAACTATTCTAAAAATTTTAAAGCACAGCATTTATGCAGGAATTGTTCTAGACTAATAGTTATTTCCTTCTTATTTAACATCTTAGATTGTATTAATGAAATTGGGTGCTGTTTTGTTTTTGCAAAAAAAGCTAGTTTTTAGGTAAAAGGGGGAGCAGTTTTGAGGTACTAAATCAAACAATGAACTGTATGACACCTTTAGTTCTTTGGTAACTTTATTTTACCTATTAACTGTCATGGGTTTTTCACAACAAATGTTGTTTTTGAAATTCCATTGAAGGAAAGCATAATATTGTGATAATGTTCATTTACAATATAATTATTCACTGGAAATTTAAAAATCTGTAATGGATTATAAAATAAAATCCCAGTAGCTTTTTTGTTTCCCAATAAGAAAAGTAGATTCAGAAAGTTGTATTATAAATGTAGCGTAGTACTGCTTACCAAAAGTTAGGAGTTTTATTCTTGTAGGAGTTAGGCTAGTAAGTAATGTTTATATAATCCTGATAAACATTTCTCCATGACTGAATTTTGAGTGGAAAACTTTATTTCCTAAAAGACTGTATGTGAAAAAAAAGAAAAGAAAAATAGGGCCTATTATCTGATTGTGAGTAGTGTGTGTGTGTGTGTCTGTGTGTGTGTGTGTGTGCGCGCGCATTTAGATCCAGTTTAATACCAACTAATGCCAACATCTGGCAAAGAGATGGAGATCTGGGAATTTGTTGCTTGAAACCCTGGGACAAAGTGTTCTGATCTGACCAGCAAACATAGCTGTGGACTTGAACTGGAATCTTCAGGGGCAGAAACGTCTTAAGTGTCTGGAAAATAGGCCTGTTGAGTCACCATGAAGGCACTAAAACAAAACTAATTTTAAGCAGGTCAAAGTTCAGTGATTCTCTCTGGAATTCAAACTTTTTTTAAGAGTCTCATGTTTAAGTGAAAAGGGTCAAAGTTGATGCACTGTTACAATGTTTTGAATGCTTTCCCTTAAGAACAGCCACCCAAGCTGGGATTGTCATGAGGAACTGCAAGGCTGGCACTTCAGCGTCTGGGTTAAAAATATTTTAAAGCAGTAAATGCAGTCAGTACAGAGAGATCCCTGGGAGCCTTTCTATTCAAAAATGTGTGAGCTCAGGGCAGCGACTGCAATGTAATTTAGGGCAGGGTATGCTTCATAGCTTTGGAGAATATTGCTTCCCACTAATGTTCCATCAGAGGATGGTAGGATAGTAGTAATTTTAGAAGGTGGTATTCCTGTTTGTCTTACATCGAAAACTTCAGAATAAATAAAAGGACATATCAACTGAGCAAGAAATGTAACTATGGAAAAGTACCAATGAATCTAAATTTGAACTGAACAGATACAAAATCAGCATGGGTGTAGGAATATTTTTAAGGAGGAAGCTACACCAAAAGCGACTTCCCAGGGAATGGATCGCACAGGTATGTACCATGTGTGACACCTAGCCTGCAGAAACTTTCAAGAGAGTGTCTTGTCAACAGTGAGGTGCTTTAGCTGTGACCCGATGTCATGCTGTTGGATATTTGAATTGAGGGATTATTTTAGAAAATGAAACATAGGGGATTTAATTTCAGTAGCTGGAATTCAGATGATATCTGGATATCCTGTGGATGCCAACAATTAGCTAGTCGGAATTCCTTGAATGAGATTGTATTGGGATCGTAGGATGGCCTCACTATGAAGTGAGTGATTCCAGGACTTTTGATGTTAAAATGTTATATACTGCAGCTTATTGTGATTGACTAGGCTTTTTCTGAGACTGAAGATCTCGTTGCTGACTAGAATGAGACTTAAACAACATTCTTAGACATTAAAAAGAACCTATTATTTTATGGGTTTTGTCTAGGAAAAGGGAGAAGAACATTTACTCTGCCTTCAAATTTAGCAACTCAGCTAAAAGCTCTGGTGTAGCTATGAAATTTGGCTGGTATCCATAGTTTACTAAACTTATAAAACTTTGGTTATTAGCTGTTTTTTTTTTCCATGATACCAGTTGCAGAATAATTCTGTTGCTCTTCACCATAAACCTATGATACTCACTTTGAAGAAGTTTTAATTATTCAGTTATTTATTCAGTAAATATCAGTTATTCCAATTTGAGGAATTACATTTTGCATTGTGTTTACTGTGTCTCAAGAGATATGAACTCAGTCGTGTCTGTTTATTTTAATGAGATAAGCCAGGCACAAGTGATAATTTTTACCAAAACAGAATAAAAATGCATGAAGAAGAAGGAAAAGCTGAGTTATTATTGTATGACATGATGACTCTTGTACAGTTTTTAATCGGAAAGTGATCTGAGTTGGGCTCAAAGATGGGAAGATGTCACGCGTGTTCTATGTGGTTCCTTTAGGTTACAGGTTAATAGAAAGCAGTCCTTGATTGGATTCTTGAACTCAGTTATGTTTATAATTATTAACGTTGTGAATCCTGCTTATTTTAATGTAGTGATGAAGAAAGAAGAATAAGAGAGAATCAAATATTACAGAGGTTAAATTAGAAAAGGTCAAATGCCAAATGTTTTCAAGAGCTGGTGCTAGGATGATGATGCTGGGATAGTTTCAGGGTGAGTTCTTAGATTTCTTTGCATCTTAATTATGGACCAGAAATTTAAATTTGTGTGCAAGGAATTTCAAAACAAAATTTATTTACCATCTGAACTGTATGAAGAAATAGAAGCATCAGTATATTCAATATTCTAATTTATTTTAACTCCACATGACTAGTTAATAGTTTTATCACAAGCAACCCTTAAAAAGCCGTAGCTCTGAACTTTTGCCCCTCTGCATGGCTTTGCAAGGAAAGCTTTCAAAGAGAAGAGTCTTAAATCTGTCTGATAGTAAAATATCCTGATCTGTTTTCATTTCCCTCCATCTCTAGGCTCTGTCAGCTGTTAAACTTGTGCTAGCCGACTGCTGGCTCCCCATGCTGTGCTGATCCTTTTGTTTAACTGGCATTTCTCGTAGCTTCCCCACTTAAACTAGCTATCAGAATCCTATAGGTCAACCAGATAGTTTGCCTTCTCACAAGCTCACCTGAAACATCTTTTGAGGTAGGGCCTGTGATTTCATGACAAATAGTCACCTCAGTGGGGAGCTGCAGAGCTCACCTCTATCTTCCAAGGGTTAACCGTAACCTATAATAATAATTTGGTGACACAAAATGCTTCTTTTTATGCATTACCTATTTCCAGAGGCCTAATTTAGGTTTGTATCAAAATGGATATCACAAACAGTACAGCTTCCCGCTGAGAAGCAAAGTGCTACTGAGAGACTTTCTGTGATTCTTTTGGTGGCATCTGGGAGGGGTGAAGAAATCCTGGGGGAGTGAAGCAATTGTCAGTCGCTTATAGAGTAGCTGGGACAAGCCCTGGTGGAGAATGGTTTTCAAAAGCAGAATAGCTTTATGGAATTGTTATATCAGGAACAGAACTTTGTTCTATTGCACTTGCTACGAGGCAAATTTTAGAACAAGGAAAACAGCAGAAGTGGTTACAACAGATGCCTTATTTTTCTGTATGATTTTCATACTTCATGCTCTAGCAACAGTGACAGTGTTTACCCAGGTGTAAATACAAACATAATAATATAGTACTGGGGAAGTTTTAAACCTTAAGAGTCTGTTGAGAGTCTTAATTCCTCATTACAGTATCCATGGTCATGCCAACGTCAGTCCAATCGGAAAAGCAAGCCAAGTTAATCTGTCGGTGTGTCCCATCTTTAACCATTTTTAAATCACCCAGTGTCTACCCCAAACATGCTAGGCTCCTTTATTGTCCTAGTTCTTTTCACAAAAGAAAGCAAATACAAATTTATCATTTTTTTTTTTTTTTACTTAACTATACCCAGGAGTATTTGTTCTTTAAATAGAAACGTATGAAGGATTGTTTTTCATGAACGTTTACTAGACTTAGAATTTCTGGCTCTTCTAGTAGTTAGGGATGGGAAAATATAGCAATATGATTTTGCAGAAGGGGTCTTCCAGCGAGCCCTGGCTTCACACCATCTAGGCTAAATTGCCATTAGAACTACGCCTGGGAACTGATTTGAGCCCAAATATGGATGGTAAATGACCTGCGGTTTTACAATTCAGTGATGGAGATGTTTCTACATTTCCACACTTTAGGTTCTGTGGCAGCTTCCAGCTGCAGCAGCCTTTTGCCTTGACTGTGCCGCATTCTTGTACCTAGTGAAGGGATGAGAAAACGTCAAGGAGCCAGGCAAATTGTCAAGAACTCCATCCCCAGAACTTTAACTCCCGCTCCCACTTCAGCCTTTTGCTCTTGCATGTTTTCTGAGAATGAGGGTTTTTCTTGGCCTGCTGCTTCCCCAAGTGGCCGGCCCTTGCCTCTTCACTGTTCTCCGGGGATGTGTTCCCAGAGTGCCCATTTCCCACCCGCCCCTGGGAGCACCACGAAGGAGCAGCTGTCCTTGCTTTCCCACTCCTACTCCAAGGAGAGGCTTGGGTGTACAAGCTTCTGTCACATACTTAATTTGTGCATCTCAGGCACAGCTTGCTCAGCTCTGCATTTTTGGCTCAGTGAACACACTGAACTTGTCTGTATAGGTGTTTGTCTTGGGGTACACCCATCTAGGGGTAATAGACATGGTTTCCCTTTTCAAGGACTCAGTTGTTAAGAGTATTTAATGGCTATTGCGGGGTGGGGGAACACTGATTTTTTTTTTTTTATGTGCTGCATGTGACATGTTCATGGTATTCTTTTTGATTCTTTATAAAGCTGTGTAAAAACTGGAATTTTAAGGAGTTTCTACCATAAAGACTGCTTTCAGACACATTATATCTATTTCCTTATTTAATTGGCTATAATTCATTTTGTAAGCATTTCTCATTCAAAGCAGGAAGACTTTCTACCACCATGGTCTAAGAGTTTGGTCACTTTTCTTAGGGATTGCTTAGATCTTCCTTGTAATAGCACCTCCCTGAAGAAAACCAGAGAAAAGAAATAACATCAAACCTTCAACTGCAGCTTTTGTCCCATTTAAATTGCAATAGATAATTTTGAAAAACTGTAAGTGGGGTGATGATGTAAGATGGACTTTTAGTTCTCCTTTCAAAGTTTCTTCTAATTTTTGTGCTTATTTCAAAAGCTTTACCTAGAATGAGAGTACATTCATGTTGTTTAATGTCCTTTGTTTTCATGGTATTGTTTTTTATAATGATTGGTGGATAGAAATGTGCCAGGGCCATGCTTTGGGATCTGAGTCTCCTTTGGACCCCATAGGATGTCAATGGACTCATTAGGATTTAGTCAAGTTTTATGCATTATTCATAATATACATTCACAGCGTGCGCACTAACGACTGTCTCCTGTGTCTGCTTAGTCAGAACCATTTGCATGCTGTATTATGGAACCATAATACAGAACGCATTTAGCCACATTTTCTGTATTATCCTTAATACATATTGTCATCATATTCTGTTATGGGGTATGTGGTGAATGTGTTTAAACAATACCATGCACTTGTGCATTATGATTCAATAAAAACAAATGTATAATAAAAGTCTTGATGGAAGTAATTATTGCATATGTGCAATAATAGTTTCTAAAAAAGCCTTCATATTATTTCTAGTTTGCTTTTATTGTTTGATTATCTAGTTATTTGTTTTATGTTGCTTTATGCCTGCTGGACTGATGTCCTGAAATTTTTAATTTTGAAAACAACATACCTTCTTTATCCCTCTCATATCTCACCTCATTAGTTTCCCTAAATGAGTATTTAAAAATATAATACTTAAAAGAGACTCGATGATTAGGAAAAGCATGTTTCCTAACTACCAATTAAAGATCTGTAGGGTATTTGTTATAAAGAGTCTGTGCTCCATGTAACAGCAAGAACTGTGTTACATATGTGAGAAATTAACATCAAATTATCTTCCATATCCAGGATCTAGAGGTTCTGAGTTCTAAAGTCAACAGTGACTTCAATACGTTTAAGGGGTTGTCACTTTATCTCTTTATCTTGGACATCTTGCTTGCAAAATGGAAATGACCACTGTTTAATTGCAATAGAATATCAGATTCATTATGTCTTTTTTTTTAAATGTTGATTTGGAATAGACAGAGGGAAAAAAAACTTAGAAATACATCTCTGTGTCACAGGTGTGAAAGAAAAAAGAATTTATTTAAAACTTTAAAATGGTAACTTATTGAAAAGTTATGCTGTAATGTGAATCTTAAGTGCAGAATATAGTAAAAGGATTCATTGAAATGTTTAAGTCTTTTGTGAGCATTACTGGTGGTTTTCAGTAGTTTGAAGTCATCTGGTTTCTGGTTAGCTACTAGTGAACTCATTTTAGAATGCTCACTTTGAAAACTGTAATTCATTTAGTGTCCTCCAAATCTACTGCTTTTGCAAACAACCACTTTTTATTTCATTATGAAACCATTTAGGAACAGATTGGGAGTTAGAACATATAGAAGACAGTAGTTTTAGTTTGAAGGGCCATTAGTCTTTTTGTTGATAATGACACTTTTAATAGTAATCTGTTTTACTCATAGTCTTATGAAATTTACCTGTTTTGATGGACATTATTGGTGAATTTATTCAGATAAACAATCTCACTGAAAATTTGAAGTGTACCATGATAATATAGCAAGCCATCCTTCTCTTGTCTCCTTTTCAGCAAGTTTGATACTATGCATCCAGATAAAATGGCTCTTTCAATACTATCCATATTCTTCGGAAATCTAAAGGGTATATAAACTTGGGGCACATGGGTGGCTCAGTCGTTTAAGTGTCTGCCTTTGGCTCAGGTCATGATCCCCGGCGTCCTGGGATCAAACCCCACGTCAGGCCTACTTGTCCTTCTCCCTCTGCCCCTCCCCTCCACTCGTGCTCTCTTTGTCTCTCAAGTTAAAATAAATAAATAAATAAATAAATAAATAAATAAATAAATAAATAAAATCTCAAAAAAATAAAGGATATATAAACTTGATGCAAAATCTGACTAAATATCTTTTTTGCCTATCTCAATATATTATTCTTTATTTCTCCATTGACTTTTACATAGTTGTTTGGGTCATGTGTGCATGTTGAGAAGTCAATAGATTAGAATCTCCTGGTTCTAGATATAATTCCAAATATGGTGGATTGAATTACAAGTAGCCAAATCTCAAAATAGGACAGTGGAGGATATGCTACTCACCCAAATTTAGATATTTTGGTTGTCTGGAATAATATGAATTTGTCAGATGAAGAGAGATAAATTGAGTATTAGAGAGAGAGATAAAAGGGTGCACCTCCTTAAATGGATGTTTTTCTGTAATACAGGGAGGGAAAAGACCTCAGTGACTTCTGTCTTGACAGGCTATATTCTTTCTACTTTCATTTGATATTTCCTCCCAGTAGGCTTACTTAACAAAGTTGATCACTTTGTCCAACTTTTATTGTCAGTTTAAATAGTTCCCTTGCCCAAAAAGTCTTCAGGTTAATTCTGGCTATTTTTTTTTTTCCACATTTTTAGAGAAACTGTTGATCCTCAGTGTATATGTCTGGATGAAGTAGAATGACTAAAAATGTTTTGTTTGTATTTTTACTTATTAAG